GGGCCGGGAGCAGAATTTAGATTGGAGAGTCAGGTGACATGTTAGTTAAGACCATTAGAACGAGTAAAATGAACAAGGTAAAATCCTGGTGTCAGTTTTTCCCGTGGAGGCAGCAGTTTCTCTGTGCAAAAATCATGAGGTAAGATAAAGGTAAAAGAAAGCTAATGTGTTAGGAATGTAAGGGATAGGGAGAAAGAATGGTAAAAGGTGAGATTTGAAAGATTGGCAAGAATCATAACTTTTAGAGACTTGTAGACCACGCTACAGATTTTTGGATCATGTTTACGTTGAGAGTCCCATTGAAAGGTTTTAAAAGGAATGGCATGAAATAATTTACTTTTTAAAAAAGATTTTTAATTTTTTGTATTAGAGAGACATCGATTTGTTATTCCCTTTAATTATGCATTCATTGGTTGCTTCTCCTATTGGCCTGACCAGCGGATCAAACCTGTAACTTTGGCTTATTGGGAGGATGCTCTAACCAACTAAGCTACCCAGCCAGTGCCTAATTTACTTTTTTAAAAAGATCATTTTGGCTACTGTGTGGACAGTTGAATACAGGGGGGACAGGAGTGGTAATGGAAGAGTTCAGTTCTACCAAACCTTTGCAGAAATCCAGATTAAAGATGGTGAGGAGACTGGAGATGAAAGATTTGAGATATAAATCCCATACCACGGATATACACTTTATTGAATATTATTCCAGATTTTTTTAAAAACGTACTCACATGTGATGGTAGATACATAATTTAGAAACAAGTTTTCTGAAAACTTGTTTTATATGTATCATGGTAATTTTTCTTTGATAACAACCACTTTTTATTTCTGAGAATTTTTGCCTTTTAATGACTCAAAGAGGGGTCACAGTTTCAAACATGAGGGAGCTACATGAGTGTCACAGGTAGTATATAGGACTTTGCATTTATTCTTAGGCCATAGTTGTGGACTCGGTTTCTTTTATTTCTTTTTCTGGGCCTTTCTAAATTTTTGTTTCGGGGAGTTAGTCTAAGTTATTTCTATGCTAATTTGATGTTAAGACTGAACTGTTCACAGTTATGTTAAGACTGAACTGTTCACAGTTAGCCTGTGGTAATTTTGGTAATTTTTGTGTTGGCATGGAAAATAACCATGCCAAATCAAAACGCTTGGATTATGAAAGGCTTTCATCCACATATTTATCTCCTGAAGAGTTCTCCAGGTTTTGCGCTGTCTTGCATTGTCTTGCAATAGTTGTCTTCAGTTTTCTGTAAGATTTTTATTTTAATCCCTGAAAGCCTTAGCTTCTGAGGCATCACCAGGAGGTTCACCTCTTTGTGTAGCACAAAGTGTGTTAGTAATACTTTACTTAGTTTTGTTGTACTTTTCATTTTTATTTATAGTATTTACATTTATGAACATTTTAGATTTTTATGTAATCATTTATCTCTTAATGATTTTTCCCTGTGGTATAATGCTTAGAAAGGCAATGTTACCAAGTAGCTCTTAACACTATGGTTTGTTGAATATTTAAAACTTTCATAAATATGAGATTTATCCTTTTATACTTTATTAGGAGGCATCTTTGTTTCCTTAGTTTTATGCACTCTATTAACTAATTCTTCAATAATTTTAAAATGATACCTTTATTATATGTTAATTTTTTTTTACAAATATTGGGGTCTGCTTTTGAACTTGACATTTTATTCCATTAATTGGTCTCTCTTTATACCTCCTGTATAATACAGGGTGGGGCAAAAATAGGTTCACAATTGTTTGTATGGAAAAATAATACAGTAATTAATACAAATACAAGAATAAACTCTTTGTCGTGCATACTTACAACTGTAAACCTACTTTTGCGCCAGTCTGTATTGTTTTAATCATAGTTTTATTTTCTGTTTTCATATCTTTGGGAGGTAATTTACCTACTTCCTTATTTTCCTTAAGGTACCAATAGCTAAAAGTAGTTCATAAGAGCCCTTTAACAGCCTCATTCATTATTCAGTGAATTCAGAACATAGTGTTAAACACTGTAATAATGAAGTAAAGATTTTTAAAAATCTGGTTTGAGAATCATTATGAAGAACCCTAGAGCTTCAGTTTTGTTTCTTCTAGCTCTGCTCCATAAAATATATTAATAGGGGCCAAGGGAGTAGGTGGAGGTGGAAGAACGTATAAGGGGGATAGATGGTAATGGAAAAAAAATACAATAAGTCTTTTAAAAGATGCATTAATATAAGAAGGAGTTAATTTTTAAATCTTCTGTTATTTCTATGAAAATGTTAAAAATTGCCCATCATATATTATCTTCAAGAGGCAGTATAGTGTAGGTTGTTAAGAACAAGGATGTAAAGACAAACTGCCTGGGGCCAGGTTATCGCTTTGCCACCTTTTAATTGTGTGATTTTGAGCAGGTTATTTTTTTAAGACTTTATTTATTTTTAGACAGGGGGAAAAGAAGGGAGAACAGGGAGTGGGGGAAGAAACATCAGTTGGTTGCCTCTCACATGCCCCCAAACCGGGGACCAGGCCCACAACTCAGGCACGTGCTCAGATTGGGAACCAGCAACCTTTTGGTTTGCAGGATGATGCCCAATCAACTGAGCTATGCACCAGTTAGGGCTTGAGCAGGTTATTTTAACTTTATATACCTGGTTCCATATATACCTGGTTCCTCAGCAGTATAAGGATAGAATGAATTACTTACGAAAACCACTTAAAACACTGCCTGGTACCTACAAGATTTTTGTAAGAATTAGATGTTGTTTTTATTCTGGATCGGCATCCAAAAATCCCATTCAGAAAAATGTATAAATTTGCATTTTTTGATAAATCTGATAAGGATGATTTGAAACAGTTAAATTATTACCCTCTCCCCAGAATTTATATGTGAACCCATTTTTACTAGAAAAATTGAACAGCTGAGTAAAAAAAAATTCTTATATTTGTTAATAGGGTATATTTACAATTATACCCAGCATAGCAACTTTTCTAAATTTTTAGTTTAAAATCCCGTTTAATAGGATATACTAATTTTCAGTTATTAAAGAGATAATACGAATTGTAGAGGATATTATGTTTAATTTAATTGTTTTTATTTGACTAGTGAGTACCAGCAAAAAAATTATACTTGTTTTCATTTTTTCTACTTACAAAAGAACTTCTAAGCCTTAGTTTGCTAATGATGAGTTATTTTGATAAGAAGCTAACATTGCTTTGTCCTATACTGTTTGTGGAGTGTGTGTGTGTGTGTGTGTGTGTGTGTGTGTGTGTGTGTGTATTTATTTTGATAGCTACATTTGTTTTTCTGCCCCAAATCAGAAATTTACCACATTGTTAAGTCCCTAAATAGGAGTTTGGTCATAAATTATCAGCTTTATTTTCCATGAGTTATTCCCTATTGGTTAATAGTCAAAGTAAAATATGACAGGGATTAATAGCAGTGAATTTTACTGTATACATTCCCAGAAGCTGTTAAGAGATGATATAATCATCTCCAAAAATAGCAGATCTTTACTTATGAAGGTTTATTGTTAATTCTTCAACCATTATATGAAGATAACATTTCTGCCTCCTCTTCCTGAGCCTGTTGTTTCTCCAAGACCTCCAACAGTCGTTACGGATTTTTCATAGCAGTCACTATTAATCTGCGTTAATACAGATACCTAATTGACTTGTCTTCCATTGTGACTAGTGACTTAATGCCCAAGAATTTCCTGACTAAGTTTGTAGTGTGTTTTCCCTGAGCAAAGTTAACTGGCTAAATTGGGAAATGAACTCTAGATCTTTGTCCTCTTTCAGAAAAACTATGTTCTCATCAACTAAGCTAAATGTTAAGCACCTGTAATATAAAGTAAAGTAATATAACCAAATTCCTACCTTCTAAGACACTGAATTCATATAGCACATTACTTCAAAAACATTTGATGAGGTGGAGTTAGAGAAAAGATAGACAATAGTATTTGTCTCCTTTTAACCATATGCATGTATTATTTGTGATAAACATTTAACACATTAAAACATTTTAAAAAGGTTCTAAAAAGTTAGAAAAGTGAATAAGTGATTGTGACAATAATTAAAAATCTTGCTGTCCTTGATTACTTTAGACATCTACTGTTAGCCTACTTATAAAGTGTCATGCTCAGAACTGAACTGAAATTTTTGTGGTGGTCTAAAGAGTCTTTAGTGGGGCACATTGATCAGTTCCGGCTTCTAGACATCTTTGCTGTCAGTTTGATGATTTTACATTTATTATCCAGTTTTGATTAAGGAAAAAAGTTCATTTTGAAAGTTTCTTCAATATGACTTTTTAATGCCTTATTCAATAAATACATACTTATATAATACTTTGTATTACTTACCATGTACCAGATACTGTTTTACACTTACTAATTTCTTTTTTTAAGTTTTATTTTTCAATTACAGTTGACATTCTATGTTATATTCATTTCAGGTGTACAGCATAGTGGTTAGACAATCATAATTTACAAAGTGATCCTCCCAATAATTCATGTACCTATCTGACACCATACATAGTTATAGTTATTAAAGTATTATTGACTATGTTCCCTATGACTGTTTTGTAACTACCAATTTGTACTTCTTCATCCCTCGCCTTCTTCACCCAAACCCCCAACCCTTTACCCCTCTGGCAGCCATCAGTTCTCTTCGTCTATGACTCTGTGTGTGTTTTGTTTGTTCATGTATTTTGTTTTTTAGATACCACATATAAGTGAAATCATAGGGTATATAAATACTAATTTCCAACTATCATATATGACTATTAAAATGCTTTTATATGAATTGTAGAAATTTGTTAATTCAGTGTTCCATTTCTCTTAGCACAAGCATCTTTCCTTTTTTTTTCCCGCATCTTTCCTGATTTACTATGTAATCATACCAACTTTGAGTAGTAGTCATTCAATTCATCAAATATTAAGTTCATCAAATTATATTCATAAAATACAATTAAAGTAGAAATTAAAATTTAAAAATTGTCTTCTTTCGCTTTTTTATTTCAGCTTTATCAACAAGGACGCCTATGTCAACTGGGCAGTGAATTTTGTGAATTGGAAGTTTTTGCTAAAGTATTGAGAGCGCTTGATAAAAGGTAAATTTATTTATTAGAAATTGTGGTAAACTATACATAACCTAAATTTTACCATTGTAACCATTTCTGTGTGTAAAATTCAGTGGCATTAAGTACATTCACATTGTTGTGAAGCCGTTAGTACAACCGTTGCTTTTTGTGTTCAAGAAAGGGGGACCGAATTCATCTTCCCTATTGTGCCCACTATCATGTAGTAGGAGCCACATGTGGGTGTAGGTGACACTGTTTTTTATTGTACTTGCTGTTTAGTCTTCTTCCCAAAACTTGCTTTACATGCTGTTTTTTCCCTGCCCCACATTTTTATGAAAATAATACAGTTTTGCTAAATACCACTAATCTTTAATATTAATATTGTGAAGTTGTTTTCACTTGTTCAATAGATGAAGTAAGTACTTCATTTGCCTAGTATAAATAAGGTATTGTTCTAGATGCTGGGGTTACAGCAGTAAAAAAGATCTATGTCATCTTTTCCTCATACATTTTGTATTTTAGAGAGGGATGATAGACTAAAAGAGGTAAAAATTAACAATAATTCTCTTCTCAGAGATAACTTTGAAATGTGGCCTGTGTACTAAGCCTATAGAAAAACTTCTTGATTAGTTGATTAATTAAAATGATCTATAAAAAAATAATAGGTGAAAACTTCATTTTGGTAAAAGAAGGCTATAGAAAAACTTTAAAAAGCATTCTCTTAAAAAGGTTAGCTTTCTGGGATTTGAATTTCTTTATGCAGTTCTAACCATGGCCATTGTAAAGATTTAGTGGAATACCTCTCTTTCATTACCGCGTTATCTTTCACCAAGTCCAAATCCTTTAAGTGGCTAATATATTATTTGTGAAACTAAAACCATGTAGTTTGACATTTTTCCCTTTATGCAAAGCAGTGATTCCATTATTTAATGTCTTGTTTTTAATTTTTTTAATTGAGATACAGTTCACATACCATAAAACTGAGCATTTTAAATTGTACCATTCATTGGCTTTTACTGTACACAGAAGGTTTTATAGTCATTACCACTATCTCTTCTAGAACATTTTCATTAACCCAAAAGAAATCTTGTTGTGTCCATTAACAGTCATTCCCTATTTCCTTTTACTCCTAGTCTCTGGCTTACCATTAATCTACTTTCTGTCTTTGTATTACCTATTCTACACATTTCATATAAATGTAATAATATATATTTTTTGTGACTGGCTTCTTTTACTCCCTGTAATGTTTTCAGGGTTCATATCAGTACTTTTTTCTTTTTTATGCCTGAATAATTTTCCATTGTATGAATATACGGTTTTGTTTATATAATCATCTATTGATGAACGTTTCGGTTGTTTCCCCCTTTTGGCAGTTATGAATAATGCAGTTTTGAAATGTTCATGGACAGGATTTTGGGTGAACATAGGCTTTCAATTTCCTGTATGTAAAACTAGAGTATAAACATGTGATAGTCCTACATTTAAATTTTTGAGTAATCTCTAGACTGTTTTCCACAGTGGCTGCACAATTTTTAATTTCTACCACCAGTGTATGAGGGTTCCAGTTTTTCCATATCCTTGCCATTACTTTTTTAAAAAAATTACTATGGCCATCCTAGCAGGTATGGTATGGTATCTCAGTATAATTTTGATTTGCTTTTCCGTAAGAACTAATGATGCTGAACATTTTTTTCTTGTGCTTATTGGCCGTTTGTATGTTTTGGAGAGCTATTCAAATACATTGCACATTTTTTTAAAAATTAAATTTATTGCAGTGACATTGGTTAATAAAATTATATAGGTTTCAAATATATGATTCTGTGATACATGATCTGTATATTGTATTGTGTGTGTACCACCCAAAGTCAAATCTTCTTTCGTCACCATGTTCTTGACTCCCTTTATCCTTTGCAGTGTCCCCATCCCCCTTTCCTTTGGTAATGACCGTACTGTTGTCTGTGTCTATGACTTTTTGTTTGATTTTTCTTGTTTGTTCATTTGTTTCTTTCAGTTTTATGTCCCACCTATAAGTAAAATCATGGTTTTTGACTTCTTCTCTTTGACTTCATGTAACATGATATTCTCAAGATTTATACATGTTGTGAATGGCAGTATTTCATCTTATCCTTGCCCATTTTTAAATTGGGTTATTATTGTATTATAAGACAAATTGGCTTTTAAAACTTATATTAAAAATTCGTTTTATCCTCTGTTGCCATCATGTTACACATACAGGATCACTGGATGGTCCACCAAGTAAAGGTACTAGGCTAAATTGTGAATTATTATGGCCTCATAATTCATAAGACAGGATGCCTTTAGCCTTATTCCATCTTAGGAAATAATGGTACTATTATTTTTAAAAAGCAAGCTAGCTCTTTCTTAAAGAACAAAATACATTACCTCTATAAAATAATCTTTTCCTTCTCTTTCAGACATTTGCTTCATCATTGTTTCCAGGCTTTGATGGATCATGGTGTGAAAGTTGCTTCAGTCTTGGCCTATTCATTCAGTAGGAGGTGCTCTTATATTGCAGAATCAGATGCTGCAGTAAAGGAAAAAGCCATTCAGGTTGGCTTTGTTTTAGGTAAGTAATGGTAAAATAGAGGAGTGTATTGTCCTGTGACATTCAGAATTAAACCCTCTAACAATGCAGGATTCTCCCAGGACATTCCCAAAGTCTCCATAAGGAGGTTGTGAGAAAAACTAGGTGTGATTTATTGAACATTAACTTTTGTGTCAAGCACTGTACTAAGCATTTAAATGCTATCTTTCTAAATCCTCGTGACATTTCAGCAATGTGTTGGTATTAAGAATATTTTAAAAATGAGGAAAAAGACTAAAAAATGTTAAGCGACTTGCTCAAGTCACATAGGTAGTAGTGGAGCTAAGTTTAGAATCTTGGGTCTATATGGTTTCAAGCCATGTACCTTTCTACCATGTCATTCTACCACCAGTCTTTCGCCAGCTTACTATATGCTGTATAAGATGGGACTTAACTCTTTTGGGGCCTCAGTTTATCAGTCTCTAACATGAAAGTAATTCTGAAATTCTTCATGGGGGTGTTAGGAGAATACTGACAACATAAATGGAAAAAGATTTTGAGGTTTCAGATGTTATCTGTATAGAAAAACACTTTTAATGTTTGGATAATATTTTATATGGTTTTCAGCAAATCTACATAGATAAATGCTTCAGGCAGTTATTTATTAAAGTTGTTGCTACCTTTTTTACTTTCTTTTTAAACAATTTTTGTTTTGAAGTGATTGTAGGTTTACACACTTATCAAAATCTGGAAGTTGACACTAATTTAATACTGCTAACTAGACTATAGACCTTATTTAATTTTTACTTTTTTTCCCCCATCACGCACACATGTGTACATGTGTTTTTCTGTGCAGTTGCTTGCATGTGAACATTCATATAGCTGTCATTAACATCAGAATACAGGGTTGTTCCATCGCCAAGACTACCTTTCATTTTTAACTTCTCACATTAATGTGTGCATGTGAGTGTTCTCTCTCTCTTTCTCTTACATAAGTGCACATATGCTTTCTTCGCCAGCAAATTTTCATGGTCATTTCCTTCAATCTTAGAATAATTCTTTGTAGTGGTCATAGACAGTTTGCTGGAGGAACTTCAGAATATTCTTTTCTAAAAAGAACCCTCAACATTTATCCTTTGATACTCCCATGTAATTTAAATTGCAACAAAGAACTATGGAATTACGACCAAAGACTGTCTCTAACAATAGAATGTGATCATGGTGAATTTTAGATTGACATTCCTTTAGTCTTAAATGGTCATGTAAAAATCTGTGGGAGAAATTTAGTATCAAGTAAAGTGAAAGTCGGCAGGCTGGTGTTCATTAAGGTCTTCTGTTAACCTCTACAAACACGACAGTCGGGCCATTGAAATGAGCCGGCTTGAAGAAATAATCCTGGAGAAGAACCAAGTCCTAGAAAAGTCAGTTATATTATCAGTCTTCATGTTAAAATTGCCAGAACAGTGCAAAAACTTCATACCAGAAGTAGACAATGATGGAGATAATTTTTTAAATAACAGCCTTATTGAGATAAAATTCACATACCATGCATTTCACCTCTTTAAAGTATCCCATTCAGAGATCTTTAATATATTCACAGAGTTGTGAAAACATTACAGTAGTAAGTTTTAGAACATTGTCATCGCCCCAAAAAAGCCCATACCCATTCTCAGTCATTCTTCATTTCCTTCCAACACCTCTAGCCTTGTCTCTATAAATTTACCTGTTCTAGATAGTTCATATAAATGGACTCATGAAATAGTTTTTTATGATTTTGTGACTGGCTTGTTTCATTTAGCGTATTTTCAAGGTCCGTCCATGTTGTGTAGAGATAGAATTTAATGTAAAGAATTTTAAAACAGGTATTAGAGAACTGAAAAAGACAAAAAGGGAACACATGGGTCTTATGGACACAACTGCAAGAATTAACTATCATACCTAGAGCTTAGGGAACCAAGTGATGGTGTTGGAATTAAAATTTAGAAGTTTGATGAGGGTGCCTCACAGAGCTGGAAAATTGCTAGGCTACAGGTGCCTCAGAGCTCTGAGAACTGGTGCCTATGGGTCTAGAACTTAGACCTCAAGGAGTGCACCTAGCTAGCTGGTATCTCTGATCTAAGGGCTGTGAATCTAGTTCTGCAATTATTAGAAAACTACAACTAGAATTGGCTAACTGGAATGAATTGCCACTGCCAGCGTAAAGAGCATTACCCTGGGGGTTTTGCTGTCAGCAAGAGCTTTGCTGACAGAAACTGGAAGCAAACAGGAAGGAGTGTCTCTTGTTCCTCCCCTCCCAGTCTAATGCCTCCTTTTGGCAGAGACTACAGCGAGCCAGCTGGCAAAGGAGAAATGTGTTTGCAGAGTCCTACTCCCAGTGTTACAAAACAGTCTAAAAGGGTTGATTTGAAGCTGAGAGACAATAACCTAATAACCAACACTATACTGTAATATGTTAGGAAGGTGAGTAGATGGCTGCTTAGTATGAATAAGTATAATAACCATATTATCCAGTCTTTTGGTGAGGGCCCTAAAATGTTCTAAAGTATACTTCTCTACAATCAAAATGGTATTTGTTGGGCCCTGGCTCGTGTGGCTTAGTGGATTGAGCACCAGCCCATGAACCAAAAGGTCACTGGTTCAATTCCTAGTCAGGGCATATGTGTGGGTTGCGGGCCGGGTCCCCAAGTTGGGGGTATGCAAGGAGCAGCTGATCAACGTGTGTCTCTGTCTGTCTCTTCCCCCCACCCCCGAAAATTGAATAAATCTAAAAAAGATATTTGTTTTATTACATGTAGATTTAGTTAAACATCACAGCATGGAAATAAGCAAAATACAGTATTTTCTTGACTCATATAGTGTTGACAATTGTTAAGACTATTGACACTATTTAAAATATAGTAAATTATCTTTGAGGCGCTAAAAAGATGGACAATATCCTAAGTAGATGATGACCAGTTCTATTGCAGGATAGTAATTTAATTACTTGCAAAAAAAAAAAAAAAATGAGCAGGCATCATCATCTCTTACGATTGTGTTTCTCAGTGTTGCGCTACTCCTATACTAAGCAGATTAAGTTTATTCAGATTCCTTTATCTATTTTGGGATTGGGTATGGAGAGATTGAAAAGTTGTGTTTAGCCTACAAGGTAAAATATCAAAATTATTAGAATATAGTGGCTAATTAACTGAAAAATGTCAACTGTTAGGCCATGGAGTATTCCTAGAGGGTTAATATTCTTGACTCCTTATTCAAGGTCTCAATTTTGATCTATTTCCTTTAGTTTGAAAAAAGATTTTAATTTCACAGTTTATATCTTTGTTTTGGGCTAAACAGGACTTTAATATTATGCGGTTTTCTAGTTTAGATACTATTTATTATAAATATGTCACTTCAGCTTCAAGTGATTTATTAAATTATCTAAAGTTACTGGTTTTTCTTGTCCTTTAGGTGGCTTTCTTTCCGATGCAGGCTGGTACAGTGATGCTGAGAAAGTTTTTCTGTCTTGCCTTCAGTTGTGTACTCTACATGATGAGATGCTTCATTGGTTTCGTGCAGTAGAATGTTGTGTGAGGTAAGTTGGAACAGATCCTACAACTACATGCTATAATGATAAACGGCTTTTATGCTTTCAGCTCTTACACCATATGTCCACATTTGAATCAAGCTCCGAGGTGATGTTTGTATGTCAGAGTGTCACCAGTCTGGCCTTCTGTCTCTCATCTCTAAAATATAGTTTACTTGCTACAGTTAGCTTAGATTTGAGTATTATGAACCAGACTCTGTATATTAATAGTTTTGCTTTGTTAGAGAACTTGCTTGTTCATTCATTCAACAAATATTTATTAATGTCTAGTATATACCAGGAACTGTGGTAGGCATTGGATACTAGGAAAAGAAATACCCTTTTCTCTTGGGTGTTACTATTTTTCTAACCCCTGCTCTGTATATACTTCTTTTATCATATATAACAAGGTTAATGTTTAACTTATAAATGTTTTCTTCAAAAATGTACCTCTTTTTAAAGGAAGGCACAATAAAAGTAAAATAACTATGCTCTTACTGTCCTAATTTTTTCTGCACATTGTAACATTTAATTTTAGCTATTTTCTTACAAATTTTAATTCTGTTCCACAATTTGATTTGACTTTTCTTCAAAATAATTTTTTAAAGATAAAACTAAAAGGAAATGAGCCCTGACTGGTGTGGCTCAGTGCATTGAGTGCCAGCCTGTGAACCACAGGGTCACTGGTTTGATTCCTAGTCAGGGCACGTGCCAGGTCCCCAGTAGGGGGCACGCAAGAGGCAACCACACATTGATGTTTCTCTCCCTCTCTTTCTCCCTCCCTTCTCCTCAGTCTAAAAATAAAAAATAAAATCTTTAAAAAAAAAAAAAAAAACATTTAAGGGAAATCAAGATAAACTTTTTAAAAATCATAGAAATTTTCCTTCCTAAGTTACCTAAAGTCGGGTCAGTTTACTGAATATTTTATAGTCATCCATTTTTATTGAATATTGAATAATAATCATATTGGTGTCTTAGAGCTTGTTGGTCTGTCCTAACACGTATCTCCCCTCTAGAATGAAGCTTTTTATGATTATGGATTCTCTCTCTCTTACCACTAAATCCCTTGCCGCTGGAAAAATGACTGGCACATAATTGATGCTCAGTCAATACCTGACTCTCAGAGTCTCAAAACTTTACTATCTGAGCTACCATAGTTGTTCTTTTTAAAAATTTTTTATTGTATTTTTCCATTATCATTTATATATTTTTTCTTTCCTGTAATCTGTTACTGGATTTCAGTTCTATTTTCCTGTATATGGTTTCTATTGTGATGGAGGCCACTATAAACTTTAATCATAAGATCAGCAATTTGGCAGTTAAAGTGACATTGTCTCTTTATTCTGTATGAGTGCACTTAACTTTAGCATGAAATTTGTGTATCAGAACATACAGTTTTCTAGTTTTATGCTTTTGCTTAAAAATATAAATTTAACAATGCATTATTCAAGTATAGCCTGGTAAGTTGTTACATTTTCTTTTGCTTTTTAAGTTGGAATTTGATACTATGAATGAAGGATGTTCCATTCAGAATTTTTGATTGGCCTTAGTATATTATTTTTCTTGAGTGTTCTAGTCTTTTCTAAAAGTAGATAACTGTATGGTATGAGGAGAGTACACTGCTGACATGGTGTAATATTTAATACTTTATTGAATAGTTCTGGTTCATTTGAAGTGACTTTTTTCTGACAGTACAAAAGATTGATAGAGAATAAAGATTGTTAGAATGTTTCCTTTTTTTAATATATAATCTTTATTAAGTTTTTTCCGTTACCATTTAATGCCCTTATACCTCCTTCCCTGCCCCCAGTAGTCACCACCCTGTTGTCCATGCCTATGAATTCTTTTAGAATGCTGCTTAATCCTGGTCATTGATCTATTAATATAAGTATCTGGTTTTTTAATACTACTGAAGAATGCTTTCTGACCTCTCTGTACTTGGGCATTTTGTTGATTTTAGAGAGAGACAGATTTTTTTTTTAATGCATTCATTGGTCAGTTTTTATATATGCCCTGACTGGGTATCAAATCTGCAACCTTGGCATATTAGGATGGCACTGTAACCAACTGAGCTACCTGGCTGAGACTTTTTTTTTTTTTTTTAATGGTGTGTTTTTTCAGGTCTGAGGATTTTCAGAAAATTATATTGGCATAAGACATGGACAGAATGTTCTAGCTGGCATTATAATTAGAAACATAAATACATGTCCAGTCCTAACATTACTCTCCTGTCTTATATGTCTGCTATTGCTCTCTACACCTAAAGTGTTTCACTACTCTTGCATAGCATTAGATAGTGTAGTTTTACAGTTACTTTATGTAAAGAACTGTGTACTTTTCTACAGTAGAGGTAAAGGTTATGAGGGAAATGTGACAATGCCACTTTTTTATGAACTTATCTTACCAGAAAGATAAGCAAAAATGAGATTTTATGAAGGAACATGAAATGAGTAGTAACTGATCAAATGTTGCACAAATATATTAGAAAAAAAGAATGAAAAGTAATGGTAGGTAATAGTATTTCATGTTGATTTTTGTTTTCTTTGCTCTTAGAAATTTTTTACAGTGAGACTGCATTACTTTTGGATTTGGAACACAGAGTTAAGTGTTAGATGTAGCTAGATGTGTAGTACATGCTCAGTACACAGTGTATACAGAATATTTAGAGAAGATAAATCAAAGTTGGATGAGATTAATCTTGGATACCTTTCTGGAAAGAGCATGTACTTCATATGCACTATAGGCGACCCCAGTTTGGCCCAGACAGTTCTTTTCCAGGGCCACCTTATTTCTTCTGCCTAGTTACCTTAACTCATCTGTGTGCTGCATAATGATCTGTAAGAGGTTATCAGGTCAACCATGCTGAAAATACTAAAAATAGAGGAATGTTATTTGTGTTTTTATAGGTTACTTCATGTGCGAAATGGAAACTGCAAATATCATTTGGGTGAGGAAACATTTAAGTTAGCTCAGACATATATGGATAAACTCTCAAAACATGGCCAGCAAGCAAACAAAGCTGCGCTCTATGGAGAATTGTGTGCACTCCTGTTTGCAAAGAGTCACTATGATGAGGTGAGTATTTTGAAGTGCATTTCATTGTGACCAATAAGTTTTTATAAAACACAGGATAAATCATATACTCCCATATTGTTTTAGTAGATCTCATTTTCACTTGTTAGGTTTACTCAAAGCAGTACATGTTTGAATTGAATATTTAAAATCAAGCAAAGATATATTCTGTGACATGGATTTTTGGTTTTGTTTTTCATTTGACCAAATGTGTTTCTGCCTAAATTATTTTCATGGACATGGTCTGCTAAATAAACCCTTAATAGATACTTTTTATTGGATATGTAGCTCTGGGTGAACTCTCATAATTCGAAAGCATTCATTTCAAGGAGAAGCTAGATTTTATTTATACTTTATTATATTGTTTTGCCCCTTCTTTTGCCTTATGGGAAAAAGAGCTTCATTCCTGGCTTTAGACTGCTAAATTAATGCTTCAGTAATGAATACATAGTTAAGAAATGATTTATGTGTTTACTTGGTTACTTTATAGAAGAATATCATAATTATTTCATACTGTCAGCCAGCTGTCATTTGGCTTTCATATTTTAAAATTATTGTATCTTGATTTTTGCATTAATAAAAATATACCATATTTAAAGGAAAGTTTCCATTAAAAGGGAAACTAGACAAGTCTAAAATAATTATAAAGTGATATTATGCAACTCCGATGCTCATCTTGCTTTCATTATCTGTATGAGAAAGCATTGAACCCATTTATAAAAATCTTAAGTCCTTCTTAGCATGCCTGCAATTTTTTAGGAAGTTTATGTTCTAATTATTTTTGATGCTGAACTATAACTGCTCAATTAGTCTTGTTGATGGATTGTTTTGTTGCCCTTTGTGTGCAGTGTCCATTTCATAGCTTATCAACCCAGATATAGAACTTGTACCCTTTCTATGATATTCATACACCAAAAACAAAGAACTCCATTCAGAGAAGGCCTTTGTGTGACTAGCCTAATTTACTGGAAATGAGAGTGAGGTAAACAACAACTGTTTGAGTATTAGAAATACCTGTCTTAAAAGCTCTCCAGGTGCCCCACGGTCTTTATATCTCTACATAGGAGCTCAGCCATCTCTGGTGTTTTCTTTCATCATTTGTTGTCATCCTCGTTTTTCATATTGCCCTCTAGAGGTCTGCACTCATTTTTCTGTTACACAGAGGGATTCAAATCTTGCCATTTCTTTACTCTCATACTCAGCCCCAGGCCTATCTTAATGTAGCCAGACCCACCAGTGTGTTCAATGGAACAAAGTGCCTTTTATTTACCAGTTTCCACTTTCTTTATTAGGCAGTTACTATTTAATTGACAGTTACTTTGACATTTGGATTGGGGTTTATACATGGTGCTTGCAACTCTCAGCACATTCATGAGCAATGTTTATAGATGTTTCTTGGATAATTTTGATAGTTTATTCTTTTAAATATAAATAAATTTGTCAGTTATATCTGTAGAACAGTACAGAAATCTTGAGGATCTAGTTTGATGAATTATCAGCATATTCTGATACTAGTTAGTGTGGGCTAGGCTCTGCTGAGATAATATCAACCCCAAAATAGTGGTGGCTTGAAACAGTGAAAGTTTATTTTATGCCGTACTACAGCCTGTCTTGAGGATCTCTGTGGCTCTGCTTAACATTGTTATCTACACTTTGATCAAAACCCCATGTGGTGAAGCAGTTTCTATCTAGAACATTTGTGTTTTTTTGCAGAGGCAAAAAAAAACAAAAACAAAAGCAAAACATCATGGGGCTATAATACTGGCTTTTAGAACTTTCTCCCAGAAATGGCACATTTCACTTCTGCTGATATTTTAACTGGCCAAAGGAAATCACATGACCACTTTTGTCTTTATCGTGGAAGGAAAGTGTTGTATATCCTTCGCCAATGAGGGGCAGTAAATATTTTAAATCAGTGTTACGGTCTACCACACTTCTAAAGTTTTTACTTCATTATTCTGGAACAAAACCAACTTAGGCACTATCTTATAAACCAGGTTTTTTTTGTTTTTTGTTCTTTTGCCTAAATCACGTATATTTTATTTTCATCAAAATTGCTTCTGAATAGATGGAATTGCTTCTTTCTTTGGAAAAAAAGAAAGCTTGCAGAGGAAAACCAATGTTCCTTTCTAATACTTTATAGTTTGTCTTCCCCCCATTCCTTGCAATATCTTTGTGATATTTTTTTGTTTCTTCGAAGCTGTTCTTAACTACCCAAAGTAATTTGTTTTACTTGCTTCCCCTCTTTCCCACTAAGTACTAGGAGAGAAGGATCATTTTATGTTTTGTTCTCCTCTAGATACCTAGATGCTAACACACTGCCTGGCACTTAACCTCTCTGCACCTCAGTTTTCCATAGTAATATTACATATATCATAGGGCTGTTGTGTCAGTTATGTGTCAGTGCACATGAAATGCTTGGACCAATAGCTGGCACAAAGGAATCACTCAACAGGGAATTGAGATATAAAACAGTAAGCATTACAGTAGAGGGAAGGAAAGTACAGGAATCCTAGTCTAGGACTGAAACCTGGGCTGATGGGTTAAGAGGTTGGAGGGAGGAGGAGTGTATTTTAAGACGGAGGGAACAGTGCATGCAAAGGTTTCTGGGCAAGAGAGAAGAAAACATGGCTCTGACTTTCCAAGTATGTGCCACATATCCAAAGAAAAATGTAATATACTTTCAAGTAAACTTAGCCTTATAAAATTTTCAGTGTAAATATTTCCTGTGTGTTTTTATTCAAGTCCTTGAAAGCTTGCAGGAAAAATTCACAATTATTTCATTAGACATAATCATTTTGATTTATCACAGTTTTTGCTCTTCTGTTTATGTACATATTTTTAGGCATACAAATGGTGCATTGAGGCAATGAAAGAAATCACAGCGGGCTTACCAGTCAAAGTTGTGGTAGATGTTTTAAGACAAGCTTCTAAGGTGAGTATAATGTTAAAATTATTAAATTATTTCTAGGATTGAGCAAGCTTTAAATTTGTTTTAATTGACCTATTATATAACAAATTAGGTATCACATAGTCTGTGGACAGAAAGGCCTATTTTCTAAGTTTCTATTCTCAGTTTGAAAAACCAGATTTCTAAAACTGTCATACCTATAGTCTTTAGTTAATTTTATTATACCCAGAAAACCTTTGAAAATTTTCATTTTCATAATTCATTTATCTCTATGAAGTACAAATGAAAATAGTGTTTTGATGCTATTCTGCCTGGATTTGTTTTTCTTTTCCTTAAACCTTTACAACAATCTGAATTCCTTATGCCATAGTCGTATGGGCTTTGGTCACTTTTCTCCTAAAAGATAACCTTATATTAAATCTTTTGGTCAAAATATTGCAGTCTTACAGTATGACAGCTTCCTGTATTTGACCTGGTGGGCAATACTTATTTGATTTTTTTTCCTGTAGTTTCTTTTTATCCTGTAAATAAATTTTTAACTTGGAGGCCAGTTAGTAATATTTAAAAATTGCTGCTTTGGTGCACTGAAGCTTTAAAAGCATTGAGTACATTTCAGATATACTCTTTATACCCAGAGGCTTTTCAGTTTTTAATATTCCATTTTGGTTAGTTTCACTTATGGAAATTTCAGTTAGAAGAAAGATTCTAAAATTTTAGAAGAGCCTAAGATTTTTGTGGAATTTATTTAAGTCATTTAAGAGCAAATAAATAGCTAAGTATTCAGGTTATCAGAGCTAGAAGAAGAATATTAATGTTTTTAATTAATTGAAAACATTAAAATGCATTTAATATAAAGACAACTGAATACATGTGTAAGATTTCTGTTTCTATATGCAAATTGTATTTAGAAACTACTGGCTCTTCTCATGAATCAAAGTATTTTAAGAAGAGGAAAACTCAAAATTCTGTCCATTTAAAAATTGTTAGATGAAAATTACAGGATAGTTGTAAGCCACTCTAAAACTGGAAAATAAATATAAGTACCTTAGAAAATAACACGGTGGGTCCTCCCCCCACCATTGTATTTTAATAATGTAGAAGGATGGGAGTATACCAACTTCGTAGGATAACTGTTATAACAGCTTTGTATTGGGCATGGCTGTCAAAATTGTAAGCTTTATAATTTCCCAGGATATATACAGATCTGTTTAAAATATAATTTTCAAGTTGGAAAGAAAGAATTACAAATACAACGCTTTCTACTTAGTTTGAAGATGCTTTTTTTCTTTTTGACCAATTATAGTTCAAATATATCAGCTATACTTATTTTAACACTGAAAGGTATTTAATAATTTTTCACTTTATCTTTAGGCTTGTGTTGTAAAACGTGAATTTAAGAAGGCAGAACAATTAATTAAACATGCAGTGTATTTGGCACGGTAGGTGATTGTTATTAAAAATACCATTTCGAAACATCTGTCTCTACTTTATATCCTAATAGTTTTGTATCTTTTTATAGGGATCATTTTGGATCCAAACACCCAAAGTATTCTGATACACTGCTAGACTATGGGTTCTACTTACTCAATGTAGATAATATCTGTCAGTCTGTTGCAATATATCAGGTATGTTAATAGTTACACTCTTTTTTTTCTTTCAACCTAAATTGTTTTGCTGACCTGTTCTTGTTTGCAGTACATAAACTACTCTCAAAAAATAATTTCCTGCCCTGGCCAGGTTGCTCAGTTGGTTAGAGCATCACCCGAGTACACCATGGTTGTAGGTTCGATCCCCAGTCAGGGAACATACAAGAACCAACCAATGAATGCATGAAGTGGAACAACAAATGAGTGTGTCTGTCTGTCTGTCTGTCTGTCTCTCTATCTCTCTCTTTCTCCCCCCCCTCCCCCCCCACTTTCTCCCCGCCCTTTCTAAAAATCATTTTTAAAGTAACTTTCTAAGCACCTCCTCATATGTGGCATACCATTATTTTAGATATTACTAAGTAATATCTACAAAGCATAAAAGTTAATATTTTAGGAATTAAAATGAATCATCCAGGAAAAGAGTTGTTTAGTTGTGGGCTCATAATCAACAATACTCTTCCATTTTCATTTGCCCAGATGATGGCTTGTCTTTGTTGTTGATTTAGTGCAAGTCGTTATAGTTGTCTTTGTAATAGCAAAGAAGGTCAACAGCAGTTATTTTAGGCCTTACCTTAGTCATTCTCAGGTAAATGATGTGTTATGCCATCACTCTGGACAAGGTATCCTTGATTTCATAGTTCACTTCTGAAGAAGGACACAGCGAAAAACACTGATGTGATTCTCAAGACATGTGAATGGTTTTTCTTACTAAGCCATTGCCTTTTAAGTCAGACTCAGTCTTCATAAAATCAAGCCTTATAGGTAATTTTTATGTTCTATTGGGATTTAAGTACAGGAGGCCTTTTCTTCAAAACTGATGGGATTAAGTATATAGAATATATATTTGAATTACTAAAATGCTTAATTTAACTGGGTAGTGGTTTCTGAAGATTTATAGTATTATCAATTATATTGATGACTCTTTCAGGCAGCTCTTGACATTCGGCAGTCAGTGTTTGGTGGCAAAAATATCCACGTAGCAACAGCTCATGAAGACTTGGCTTATTCTTCTTACGTTCACCAGTATAGCTCTGGAAAATTTGACAATGCACTGTAAGTTCCATGTCCATTTTCAGTGAGGGATTAAATGGTGTTACTATTGTTTTTGTTTTGTTTTTCCTACTGAAATAGTATTTAATGTACTTCATGGATTAAATTTGTTTTCCTGGAGTTTTAATGTGATGTCTAAAATGTTTCTGACATATTTTAAAAGCATACCAATTTATAAGCTGTTTAAGGTTTGTGGTTTAATATTGAGACTTGTATATCTTCATACAGGATATGACTTAACTTTTTGAATATTTCCTTCAATAATTTTTCTTTGAGTAATACTTTAGTACTCTGAATAAATGGCACACTTAACATAAAAACTTCTTGCTCAAAACACACAGAAATACTGAGTAAAATAATTATCTTTTAAAATGCATAACCAAGCTTGCAAAAGAAAGAAGAAATTCCCAAGGGCCAATAAAGGACTAAAATCTAAACTATGGTATAACTGCTCTGGGGTAATGAGAAAGCTTACAAGTTTAATGTTGGTTCAGCAACAATCCTGGGTTTAAGAGACAAAGCATGGAGCCCACAGGAAGCTGAGTTAGAACTGCATCGCTCACATGCAGTCAGGATCAAGGCTACACCCTCAGGGAAAGGGTAGACTAGGGGGAAAATATTTGCCTACAGGCAAGATAGATGACAGGAAACTTGTCATAAATTCCTCATTGGAAAATTTATGACTGCAGATCTGTAGCACTCTTGTGTTTGAGCATCATGCCTGCAGGAACCCCAAATTGAGAATAACATTGAAAATTACTTTGACACTACTAGTTCTTGTAGGATGCCTTTTAGTTCTCGTAAAATGCTTGGAAATAATTAACCCTCAACCCAAATCGTATAGACTTCCCATAGATCATAGATCCTAAGATGAACTCACCATTTTAAAAAACTAAAAATAAGTAAGGAAACATTTCCTTGTAAGTGAGCGTTAGCAGGCATAATGAACAAGATTGGTACCCTAAGGATATCACTTGGCAGAACTTTCTGGTTGCCACTGTAATTAAGTATTCTTAAATGATGAAGGATACAGATGGGTTGCTAAACTGTGGCCTGCAGGCAAAATAGTTTTATTGGAACATAGCACTGCTCCCTTTGCTCATGTATTGTCTGGCTGCTTTCACACTGCAACTGTAGAGTTGAGTAGTTGGGACAGAGTGTATGACCCACACAACCTAAAGTACTCACTATCTGGCCCTTTACAGAAAACAATTACTGATCCTGATATAAAAGAAGGAATCAGTAATATTTTGAAGGGAAAATAAAGAAAAAAAGGCAGATTGAAAAACAAAACATCTGATACATGCTACAGAATGGATAAACTTTGAAAACATTGTCCTTAGCAAAAGAAGCCAGTCATAAGGGACAATATATGTATGATTATATTTATATGAAATATCCAGAATAGGCAGATCCATAGAGACAGAAGAAAAGGGTGGTTGGTTGCCTAGGACTAGGGAGTTGGAGGAAAATGTGGGGTGACTGCTAATGGGCACAAGGTTTCTTTTTTCAGGTGATGAAACTATCCTGAAATTGATTATGGTATGGATATACAATTCTGTGAATATACTAAAAACCATTAAACTGTACACTTCAGATAGGTGAATTGTGTGGTATGAATTAACATCTTAATAAAAGAGCTGTTGTAAAAAATATAATGGCTAGATTTAGAAAATAGTAATTGACTTTAAAATTCATTAGACACGTTAAACAGCAGATTAAACACAAACAGACAATGAATTAGAAGACATCTAATGTAATGAAAAAGTAATTACTTGGAGACAGAAGGCAGTTTTTTTTTTTAAAGGAACTGGCAGATAGGATAGACAAATAGCTTGCCTTCTGTTTGGTGAGATAGGCCATAAACAAATAACCAAATATATCAAATGAGCATGCATGCCAGGAAAAATAAAGTAAGCTAAGAGTTTAGAGAGTGATGGTAGATTTTTTAGGGCCTTTTGTATAGATTGGTCTAGAAAGGCTTTTCAGTGAAGAGTGAGCCATTTGGATATTCAGGGGAGGAGCATTTCAAAGAGACAGTAAATCAAGTGTATGAGTCCTAAGGAAGAGCGTGATTTGCATATTTGGAAAACCACGAGGCCTGTGTGACTGGAGGGGGATGATAGGATTGGTTTTGAAAATGGTAGATGATGAGATTAGAGAGGTAACCCAGTAAAAGATCTTTTTGAACCTTGTAAGCTGTAATGATTTCACAGTGTATTCTGAGGATACATGGGATGCTAAATGTTCTGCTCACAAGCAGATGGAAATTTAAACAAAAAATTTTCTTTTACTACAGGTAGTTTCAGAAATTGTTAGTATTATAATATAAATCACTGTAGCTAAAAAGAAATATCAGAAAATTTCTGTTTGTATTGCTCATTTCTGTCCAAATGATGGGCTGAAGGTTTAATTTTGATGACTCAGTGTTGGAGGGAGGGAGGTAAGGCGACCTGAGAGGGAAGAGTTGGGGGAAAAAAAGAAATGCCAGAATATATCTATCTGTATTACAGATTTCATGCAGAAAGAGCTATTGGTATCATTACCCACATCCTACCTGAAGATCATCTTCTTTTGGCTTCTTCAAAGAGGGTGAAAGGTACCCTTTGTAATTTAGTCTCCAATGTATATCTGTATTTATATATCTATATCTATAGATGTATTTTTAGATTTCTTTAGCTATCAATTGTAATAGATGTCTGTGATTTTTTTTAATTGATGATATATAAAATAGGGGGATTTGCTTATTTCTGCAGGGGTAGTGCTTAAGATTAGACTGTATCTACATATTAAATGGCCAGTTCACTCATTTAAAATACTTACCTGCAACTCTATGTAAGAATTTCCAGTTGTTCATAGTGAAAGGTTGTTTGCTTCTCACATATAACATTGTTAATAAGTGAGAATGTCTATCACCCTCCCTCCCTTCCTTCATTTACATGCATTCATTCATATATAACACAACTGATTATTGCACAGTAACATGGATAACAAACTGAAGATGGGCTTTTCACATACCTTCAGCTTTATAGGGCAGGATTCTGAAACTCAGCTGCATGTCACGATATCTTTAATGTTGTAGGATTCTTAACAAATACCACTTTCTCTTTTATTTAAACTTTTTATATAATCACTACCAAGCCCCTTTCATTCAGGGCTTTTATATTGCTAACATAATTGGGTCACCCATGTGGTAACTCAATGCATGTTGGATAAATTTTACCTTAATTCTGGAACTGGATATTTTCCCTCTGCTCAGTTTGTATTTTTAAAGTTACACAAGTGATGCATGATCAATATCAAAAATTAAAGAGAAGAAAATAAATTAAGCCACCCTAAATCCCATCAGACCAGAATCAACATTTTGGTGAAATTTTTTTAGACTTTTTCTTCTTTAAATACTGAAATAAATGAATACTTTTTTTTTTTCTTAGTTTTATAATCTGCTTTTTTCACTTAACATATTATGAACATTTTCCGGTATCAGTCCGTGTAGGTATATATCCTTTTTTCTAATATTTGTAACCTTTCCTCTGCTTTTGGCCCTTTATATTGCTTTTAACCTTTTGTTCTTCAAAATTGCTTCAGTGAACTGAATCCCTTTTACTTTTGTGCACATAGGCAATTTTCCTAGAAATAAAATTACCTGGTAAAAGACTTTTTAAGACTTTAAGTGAAATTTGAAAACCTTGAACATGACTTTGAAATTGAAATCTTCTTTCCTGATTTGGTTGGTGAAGTGCATAGGAGGAAACCAGTTCCTTTAGTTGTATTTGGTTAAAGGTTATATTTTATAAAAGTGTAGTTTCAAAATTTTCAACTATGATTAGGTTCTCCTTGACACAGTTTCATAACTTTAAATTTTTTGCCTTTTCCTTTTTTATTTTGCGTTAAAAAGCAAATTCACAAGGGCAGTATGTAAGCCTAGTACAATATAAGCTAATTCTATAAAAGAACTTAATGTATACTATTGTTTTTCTTAAATATGAAATTCATTATACAGTGCAAAATAAAATGACCTCCTCCAAAGGGGTTCCCCCCCAGTAAAATGGAATACTTTCTTTACCATTTTTAAACTTTATCCACATATAAGTATATACAGTGAACATTTATAGAATTTAATTTTAAATTATATGTTTAGAATAGCTTTTATAGGTAGTTTTGAAGTGCACTAATTTTGTTGCTTTCTTATTCAGCACTTATTTTAGAGGAGATTGCAATTGACTGTCATAATAAAGAAACTGAACAGAGGCTGCTTCAAGAAGCTCATGATTTGCACCTATCTTCACTCCAACTAGCTAAAAAAGCTTTTGGGGAATTTAATGTACAAACTGCAAAACACTATGGAAACCTTGGAAGACTTTATCAGTCAATGAGAAAATTTAAGGTAGAAACATGTTTTCCTGTATTTTTCTTTCTCTAAATAATCTTAAGTACTAAAGTATAATCTTAAATAATATGTCTTCAGTGTACTTTTATTTTACTCCTACCGTATTTCATTTTAAAAAAATTGAGAAAATATCTAGTATAAAGCAATATAGTTAAAATATAAATAAATTTCAAAAATCCAGACCACGGAAAAATAAGAAATATAGCAAACCATAAAGGCTTGTTAGACCTAAAACATAGCTCTGAGGTTAAGTATAGCATGTGGCAGAATGCCTGGCACATAATGAGCATGCAAGAAATGTCAGATATTGCAAGTATTATTAATCACAGTGATAAATATTCACTGAATTCAGTTCCCTTTTAGAATTTTGGGCCCTTCCAGAGTAGCTCAGTTGGTTAGAGCATCATCCCAAAATACTAAAGTTGTGGGTTGAATCCCTGGTTAGGGCACATACAAGAATCAACCAACGACTAAGTGGACCAACACACTGATGTTTCTTTCTCTGTTTCCCCGCTTTCTCTCTCTAAAAAGCATTTTTAATGAATTTTGGGTTATAAATATTTAGTAATGTCCATTTTAGAGTCACAATAAAGAAAGAATGAGAAAAAGTCACAATAAGGAAAAAATGAGAAAAGCTGCCTAAAACATTTACTTTTACCTGAAATTCAATATACTTATATCTCAATCTGAATTTAGTTTGTCAGAATAAAAATTGCCAGAACTCAGAAAAATAGAGGGTATACTTTTTTGTATAAATTAACATACTATAGTATGGAGTTTGACGTTTCATGAGGTTAAATTTTAAAGTATGTTAACTGAAAGAAATAATTTTCATTTTAGAATGTTTTAAAGTTAATTTCTTCTAACAACTTTTTATTATCAGGTCAAGTTTTCCTCTTGTCATTTTTAGCCTAACACACTATTGCTGTCATCAGGTTATATACATAGCTTCCCAAAACCAGCGATGCTTCCCATGAGTGACTTTTGGAATAGCATGGTATATTCTCTGATCTTTTTACCTTATGCCATCTGTAACATGTCTTTGGCATTTAGAAAAAGCTAGCCCATTGGGTAAGAATTGTTGACATAAGAAAAAGTACAATCTAGTGGTTCATATGGCTTAATGATTTTTTTTCAGGAAGCTGAAGAAATGCACATCAAAGCAATTCAGATTAAAGAGCAGCTTCTTGGTCAAGAAGATTATGAAGTAGCCCTCTCAGTGGGACATCTGGCTTCTTTATATAATTATGACATGAATCAGTATGAAAATGCTGAGAAACTTTATTTGCGATCTATAGCAATTGGTATGTTATTTTAAAATTTTCTTCGTCAGTTGATTAGAGGTCAACATGTTTTATAGGTTGTACAGAGAAAATGTTATTGCCAAGACTTAAATGAGTTCAGAGCTGCCCAGTATTTCTAGGAACCACCCAAAAAACATCTGAAACATTTTGCTAAACGCGATTTATTGATGTTGAAACCAGTATGAATTACTATGATGCAGAGCCAAGTATTAGCAAAAGTAGTTATTTTAAACTATTTATGTAAATACTATTCCCTCCATTTTCCTGGATTTCACATCATAGATCAAGTTTACCTGTTTTATGTCTGGTTTCTTTTGGTGAACATGAATTATGAAAATCATCTTTGTTCCAGATAACTATTGCTTACTGTTATTTACTATTATTTTCAGTGCTATAATATTGACTGAGCACAGTATTGTTTATCCATTCTACTGTTAATGAATATTCAGGACATTTGGATTGTTTGCAGTTCAGACTTACATATCACAAAGTTAGATACTGTGATCATCATTTAACATTGTACCTGTTAAAACACTTCCCCATTTTTATATTGAATTGTCTGTCATTTTCATACTGGTTTATAGAAGTCTTTAATATTATATGGATATAACAAGCCCTTCTTGGTTGTATGTGTAACTCTCACTTTATCTCTTGTTTTTTATAATGGTGCCTTTCAAAAAACAAGTTCTGTATTTTAAGATTTTACGTATTTTTAGAGCAAAGGGAAAGGGGGGAGAAAGAGAGGAAGAGAAACATCACTATGTAAGAGAAACATCGATTGGTTGCCTCTCACTTGCCCCCAACTGGGGACCAAGCACATAACCCAGGCATGTGCCCTGACCAGGAATTACTGGCGACCTCTGGGTCAGCAGGCCGGCACTCAGTCCACTGAAGTTCTATATTTTAATGTAATGTAATATATTGGTCTTCTCTTTTATGATTAGCACTTTTGTATCCTGTTCAAGAAATCTTTTCCAACCCTGGCTTAGTGTGGCTCATTTGGATGGAGCATATCCCATAGACCAAAAGGTCACTAGTTCAATTCCCATTTGGAGCCCAGGAGGGCAACCAGTCAATGTTTCTCTCTCTCATCAGTGGTTTTCTCTCCCACTCTCCCTCTCCCCACCCTCTTCCCCTCTCTCTAAAGGCAATGAAAAAAATGTCCTTGAGTGGGAACAAAAAGTACATTAAAAAAAAATCTTTTCCTACCCCAAAGTCATGAAGATATTCTTTTAAAAGATTACTTTCTGTAAACTTTATTCTACATTCCTGCAATTGATTTTTGTTTATGATGTGAGGTGGGGATCAGATTTTTTCCTTTTTTCTTTTTATTCCCCTATGTGGATATACAATTTTTTTTTTCAAAAGACTATCCTTTCCCCTCTGCTGTGCTACCTTTGTCTATCATGTATCTCTGTATATGTGGATTCCCCATTATCCATAATATTTTGACGTGTTCAACCCTAAAATAAAGTAGTTTTTAGAATTGTTAATCTATAGTACTATGAAAAACAAATCTACTACATAGAGTCCAGTCTTTGTTTATAGTTTTCTTTGTCTTTAGCCTGAAGGTATATACTCAGAATACTTCAGAATTTACTTGGGTTATTACTCTTCTCCACCCCATCTGGACAGAGTAGTTATTCATTTGAAACATAATTAGGTTCATTTGTTTATGTTTGTATAACATTTCCTCCAACCGTATTTACTTTTTTTTGTTTTTTTGTTTTGTTTTTAGTATGTGAACTATTAATGTTCTTAAAGTTAGAACTAGAAAGTTATGTTCATAGATGTGTGATTTCCCCAATTCTTTTCCCAACCACTCCTCACCCATCCCCTTTAGGTAACTGATCTTATTTTTCATTTACATTTTCTGTCTATCTTTTTTACACAAATGTTCAGATGCATAAATGTTTTATTTTTCCTTTTCTTACACAAAAATAGCATGCTATAGGTACTTTTGTACTTTGCTTTTTTTAACTTAACAATATACTCAGTGTGTCACTCCATGTTGGTTCATAGAGAGCCCAAGAACTTACTCCTCTGTGTACAAATGTGTAATATAACCTTTAATGTGCTATGGTTGGTTGAATCACTTGCCAATTTATTTTTATTTGTTTCCAATATTTTGCAATCATAAAGAGTGCTAGACTGATTAGCCTTGTGCATATGTATTTTTCTATTGTTAGAGGTGCTGCTGTTCTTTATTTTAGACCTCTTCAAATCAGTCCCTCAAACTATGAAATTTTATTCTGGTGACAGAAATTTTTTTTTGTAAGTGTTAGAGATAGCGTATGGGAAGGACTGGGTTGGTGAGCACTGGCTGAGACATGAATTTATTCCTTTCAGGGAGTAATAAAACCAAGCTGCCCTATTTAAAGAGCTGAACTTCTGTTGTCTTGTGGAAACTGCTTCCTACCTCACTTTTTAAGCTTGTTTTCTTTTTTCTTTTTCTGGTGATTTTCAGGGAAGAAACTTTTTGGTGAAGGCTACAGTGGACTGGAATATGATTATCGAGGTCTCATTAAACTTTACAACTCCATTGGAAATTATGAGAAAGTGTTTGAATATCACAATGTTCTGTCTAACTGGAACCGGTTGCGAGATCGACAGTATTCAGTGACCGATGCTCTTGAAGATGTCAACACCAGCCCCCAGTCTACTGAAGAAGTGGTGCAGTCCTTCCTGATTTCTCAGAATGTTGAGGGACCGAGCTGCTGAGGCATGATCTCAGTTAACTAATTTACCTTTTCCCAGATTCCAGGGAATTCATACTGTGAAATCAAAACCATGTTGTTTTTTGGGGCTGGAATTTGCATTGAAACACTGGTCCAGTCCATTGACCCTATTTGGGTGATCCCTATCTCGCAGAGTGTCTGTAGGTATAAGCATATATTCAGTTATATTCAGCATGTACCGCATGTATAAGTAGTCTGGCCCATATTTTCCACTTAGTAGAACAAACAACAGGAAATCTTTTTTTTTCTTTTTAAAAAATATTTCATTTTGCAGAAAGCCTGAAAGAAAAAAAGAACCCCTAAATAAAACTATTTAAGAGTTTAAGAGTTGCATTCTTATTATGTAAGGATGATTTTAACAACTTTTTAACATATAATTCTTCCTTGTGGAGGTATTCAATACTGTACTGTAAAGAAATTTCATGGGGAAAATCTTTATATGCAGTATAGAAAAATTAACAGATGTACTAATAGAAGAGGGATATCCTGGCTTAGGTTTGGCTACCTGACCCAGAGAAGTGGATACAACCACTCCAGAGCTCCAAGGGAAGGGAAAGGCAGTCAGATTCTTCTGTACTGGACCAGTGTGGATCTGTAAGTAATAGAAAAGCTGATAGGCCAGCAGTTTTAACTCTTGGTTTTTGTTTTCTTTTCTCTTGGTACAACAATGCAAGATGCTGTGATAACATTTGCTAAGGACCAGGAGAATCTAAAAAGGACCAGCCTCATGTAGAAAGGGTTAAAGGGTTATTTGGACCAGAGGCTTTAGATGATTATTTTAGCCCCTGAGTTTACTTTTAACAGTAGAATGATTACATTTAGATGTATAATGAAAATTAATAATGCAAAAATTATATTCATGTAATAGACACCAAACTAGGGCAATTTGGCAATTTAAGTGACATAGCTTTAGTCAAGGTACACAGGTGGCAGTGCCATAAGCAAGTCTATAAGTATCTGCTGCAGCCATCCCCCTCATTTTAAATGTTACCCCAATAATCAGTGCAGTTAACAAGTATACTGGCTAAGAGTAATGGAATTTCTCTTGTCCAGATGGGAATTTTAGGTTACTATATGGTTTATGGGGCTTAACAGAAAAATGAATGCCCCCTAATAAGCAGGTCTTAGAAATATTTCATTTTTATGATAATAGTACAGCTTGGTCATTTTATTTGAAATTCAGGAATCAAATGGAAAAATCCCCTAATATATCTATTTCACTAGGTTGTCTTTCTCTTTATTGGGTTTTGATTTTTTTTTTTAAGTCAGGTTATTTAATGTTGAGGTAATATTCAAATTTGAGAAGTGTGACATGTAGCAATCCAAGAAACTAAAAGGTCTTTTGCTGTTACCTCAGTTCTTATTATAGTGGCCTATTTGGTGCCTCTATAGTTAAGAATCAGGGTTTTCCCCCCTATTTTCAGGGGCTTATGACTTGGCTGTTGGAGATGTTATTCCTGGCTAAGTGCTTGGAGTAGTCTATGGGTGAGTGGATGTGTGTTGAGTTTTCGTTTTCTTTAAACATGCATGTTGGGGTGGGAGGGGGGAGAAAAATCTGAACTGTTCTCCGCATTCAATACAGAAAAAGTAATTGGGTATTTCAGATAAATTTGATTTTAAACACTTTTGAACTTCCCAAATATAACCTTGTTTAAAACTGTCTTTTGCAGTCTTGTTAGTTATGAGCCAGTATTTTTAAGTCCTTGGGATGGGATTGATTGGGGAGGCACTTAAAGAGATGATGCAGGCCCAGATTTTAAGATTATAACTATGTGATTTCAAAACCTGAGTTTATTCATTGAATTGAATTATTTTCTTTTTAATTTCTAAAAGACTACATTGGCACACCCGCACCTCCCCACTCCCAGTTAATTGCAATATGATTCCAAGAGGCACCTCTTTATTAATTACCAAACAGTCTGTGTGACCAAGGACTAACATCTTTAAGTTACTCAGCTCTATCCTCATGGGCCTATATATTTAATACCTCCAAAGATATTTTCAGGATAGGCTTTGTATACTTTTGTTGGTTATTTAGAGTCCTGTGGTATGTTTGTGGTATAGGAATGTCATGGTAAAATGTTTTTCAATAAATATTTTGAAACTTATGTTTTCATATGAAGTTTTTTTTTTTTAATCTATATTTTTTGGTTTTGTGCACATATAACATTTCCTAGGATAAAATCAAGCAAATGACTTAAGGCCTCATTCAGTCTGAGCTTAATTTAGCTCACATTCTGTGATAAAGCAACATGATATTAGGTGCCTAGGATCACAGGGTGGTAATGTTAAGTGACAGCCAGTTTTCTTTAAAAAAAAAAAATTATTGGTAGTTTTTCTTTATTACTACTACTTTAATGTAGTTTTCTATAAATCCATACACTTTGATCTAATGCAAATACACTAGATTGAAAAGAGAGATTACCAGTTTCTGTTAGTGATGTAACGTAAGATGTTGCTTATGGTTTTAATGAAGAATAAATACCCTGATAATTTAAAGTGTGGGATTTATCCTTTTAGTAGAAATGTTTAGGATAAGTGAGAGAGGTAAATGTCACCATGATTTCTGGGGTTAAAAAATCTCAGATGAAGAGGAAAATAAAATTTACTTCACAACAGCCAATAGCTTACACAAAATTTTCTCATATGGTAGGATTGTGTGTAAGGAAGCCTAGACCAACTTTGAGATTTTTCTGGAAGTTCAGCAAAGTAATGTTAAAGAAGGGGCCTTTGGTCTCATCTGACTTCCGTTTCTTTTCTCTTACCCAGTCTTTTTCCTAAAGTTCAGTGCTACTCAAGTTGGGTGCATTAGAGAGCTCTATAATACTCATGGGCCACATGAGTAGTCAGTCACCTCTGCATTCGATTTAATGGAGCCAGTTGGGTTTTTAGAACATAATTTTTATGGGTCCCCAAAAAGCTGACTCTGCTGAAAGCATTAGGATCCTTCAAAGCTCTGTCTCTGCTTAAGAATGAATCAGCATTGCTTTGTAATAACCCCACTGTAGTAATTCCAGGATGCTTTCATTTATAAAAATAAAATATTTGACAAAGACCTTTTTTCCTAGGCTTTTTGCGAAGAGTTCATTATAAGGTGAAAATTAAGTCCAGAGGCTGCAACCTTATAAATAATGAGTTGCCATTTGGCTGTTCCTTAGAGTGCAAACAGCATGATGAACAGTAAACAGGCCTGAAACATGATTGAGGTTTTGACCATACTTTTGAAAGAATGGTTTGCTAAGTAGCAAATGCAATTAACTGCCAATTAGTTTTTATTTTTTTCCCCAGAATATTGTATCCTTGATGCTTCTAAACTATCCTTTTTCTGGATTGGCAGAGTTACTACTGGAAAAAATACATACTTATAATTAGTGCAAACCTTTTTTAAGAGGTTTATTTTTGCTTTAAAATTAACATATTTCGTCTCTTGGTTTTGGAAAACCTCAGATCTTGCTAGGAAATCCTTTTTCTTTTCTTTTTTTAATTTGACATTTGGATTAATCTCTGGCGTGAACACTAGAAGTTGTATTGCCCACAAATCTCAGGAATGTTTTAGGCAGAAAACTGGTTTTACCCTGTTGGAGATCTGAAGGAGTGTACTTTAGGATTTATTAAATAATGCCCTTCTTTCATTGCAATCCTAGGTATCAATAGCATGAGTGGCCTTAGTGAGTTTGTTGAAGTGTACATTTTTTCAAAAGTAAAGTTTAAGATTAAAATATATGCTATATATAGATATCTAGAAAACTTGGTTTGTGGTGCATAAGTGTTGGATCACTAAATAACTGTTGCAGGTACCATTTGTGTAACATTACTCATTTCTGTATATTCCTTTTATGGGAAGATATGTTGCCACGGTAACTGAAACTTTTCAATTTAGTTCTACTTTTATGATGTGAATGAATGCTACATTTTATTAAATATTACCAGGTCAGTACTATTTTTATACTTTATTAAGCAACAGGGGATTTTAGTTTAATAGACTCAAAATAAAAAGCTCTTAATGAAACAATTAAAAGCAAATCACTAACAATTCTTTACATAAAAATCCCCACTAATAGTGCCACAGTAATTTCTATAGAAATATCTAAGGTCATTGATTTTTTTAAGACAATTCTTCATTGTGTCAGAATGACCTTTCATATCATCCTTATCACAAACTTGTAGTACCCACCATTTTTTGTAACCATTAAACCATACTAAGTATGTTTGTAACCAGCATTGTGATATATTCTGTACTTGTATTGCTAAAAATGAATTATTGACCTAATAAATATAGTGTTCCTGCATTCATAGTGTATCTGTTTCCAATTTAGTTTGATACTTTTGATTGGGACTTGGGATTGTTTAAACATTGCAAACTTTTTATTAGAGAATAGTGCAAGAGAAACAGTAGGAACTAGAGTAGAAGTGCTCTTGTTCAAGAAAAGTAAGGTGTATGGCAGGAGAGGCACATGGGAACGGTATTTGGAAAGGGTGCACAAGAAGGTACTTTGGAAGAGACAAAGCACTACATTAATGCAGGGGATTTTTTAGACTTTACAAGAGTAACTGCACCATTTTTCCCCCTACCCTTTTAACTGTAAAAGGCTGAAAATGGGTGATGAGACCAGGTGAATTCTGCTGGCTTTCCTAGTGGAGAAAACCCTGGATTTGGGTTACAGTTCCATCTCTGCCTCTGAACAGTGGGAGTTTGAGATATGAATCATAAGCCTCTTTGCGTTTCATTTCCTCATATGAATGGTGAGGTCAAATTCAGTATTTCAAACAAAAATCCTCCATGAAACATGAATCTTACTCTTGAAACAGTCACACGATATAAAACAATTTTTAAAAATTATAAAGAAAATTAATCAACATTTAGACAAAAATCCCACCTGACTTGGAACAGCCAGTACTGGCTTCATCACCCTGCCTCCTTCAGTGATACTGAATTTTTACATTTTTCCTTTTACACCTGCACGACTATAAACATGGTGTTCTCATGGAATGCCACTTCCTCCATAAAGTCTTATCTGCGAAGCTCAGTGGACAAGAGAAACTTCCCTTAAGGCTTAAGTTGCCTCCTCTTGGTACTTACACAGCATCTTATTAAAGCTTTGTTAAAGCCATTAACATATAATTTTCAAAATTAAGACTAATTCCAGCTCATATATTTTGTTGATTTGTGCATTTATTTAACTAAGCGTAGAGTTTACTCTGTAACATTATTCTAGTGTTAGCAAATTATACCCACTTTATATATATGTTTCTACAGTTTGAAAATTCAAGGCAAACTCACGTTCATTAGGATGTTAGTGCGTTATTGGTAGGGAGGTAAAATGGCACATCTGCTTTAGCAAACAGTAAAGTGGTTCCTCAAAAAATTAGAATTACCGTGTGATTCCACAATCCCTCATATAATTATATATCTAAAAGAATTAAAAGCAGGATTCAAATGAATAATCAACACCCATGTTCATAGCAATATTTATAATAGCCAAAAAGTGGAAGCAACCCAAAATGTCCATCAACAGATGAATGGATAAAAGAAATGTGGTATATACAGGGGTGGACAAAATAAGTTCACAGTTTTGAGTACATGAAACAGTTTAGTCTTGTAGTATTTTCCATACAAACAACTATAATAAACCTACTTCTGCCCCACTCTGTACATTGAAATATTCAGCCATAGAAAGAGGAAATCTGACACTTGTTGCAACATGGATGAACCTTGAAGGCATTATGCTAAGTGAAATAAGCCAGGCACAAAAGGAAGTGGGGAGAGTAAATATTGTATGATTCCACTTATGTGAAGTATCTAAAATAGTCAAACTCCTAAAAACAGACAGTAGAATGCTGGTTGTCAGAGCTAGGAGGAGGAGAAAATGGGGAATGGTTGCTTAATGGGTATAGAGTTTCAGTTTTGCAAGATGAAAAAGTTCTGGAGATCGGTTGCACAACAATGAATATAATTAACGCTACTGAACTGTACACTTACAAATAAGGTAGTAAAGTTGAGTTACCACTTTTTTAATTTTAGGGCAAAGGCTTTCAACTTGCATAAGCAGTTAAATCAGATCATGATATGTAAAGTTTGAAGAAATCTGATCATTTAAAGAGAGGGAGAGAAATATTGATGTGTGAGAGAAACATCAGTTGATAGATTGCCTCTTGCATGCCTGCAACCCAGGCATATGCACTGACTGGGAATCAATGGGCGACCTTTTGGTTTGCAGGCTAGCGCTCAATCCACTGAGCCACACCAGCCAGAGCTCAACTGCGATTTATTTCTGAATTAGAATACTGATGTAGCATGTAAAATTCTTGTTCAGCATAGACTCAGGCTTTGTTTTTCACTCAGTGCTACTTAAATACTAGTTTGAGTATTTTTCTTTCCTTTATTGGCTGTGACCCATTGCCAGACCACATTCTGCATCTGGTGTGTTGGTATCAGAGGAATCAGATTTCTCTACACCTAACAGAAAAGAAAAAAAAAAAGACACTTGGCTGCTTTTTGATAAATGAAATTTAGTTAGTATATGTTTGATCATGCAAATCAAGTCTTTAACTTGTACTTTTTAGACACATGATTTACCTAAAGGCAGATTTTGTCAGCAGTTGGAAGTTCTAGGAATGCAGGGTGAGTAAAGTGAGAAAGAAGACTTCAGAGGAGCTGCGTTTTACCAGCTATGGAGTCAGATTACTCCATGAATAACTGAGCTTGGCCCCTCATCTGTCCAGTGCAACGGACACTACCTGTCTTTTGTATTATTATGAAGATTAAATAAAATAAATGAGAATTCTGGTCAAGATGGCAGCTTGGGCAGACATGGCTCACTTCTTCACACCACATCAAAATTACTACTAAAATAAAGAACACCCATCACTCAGAACCATTAGAAACTGAGTTGAATGGAATTCTGACAACTATGGAAGAAAAGAAATCACATCCATTGAGACTGGTTGGAGAGGCACAGAAACAGAATGGGCTAGACCCTCACCCACAAGTGATGGATAAAAATTTGGGAGGGATATCTCGGGAGCAAGAAGTCCCAGACCCACACTACTCTCCCCAGCCCAGGGTTCCAGTACCACAAACGTAAGCCCCCATAACTTCTGGCTGCAAAAACCAGTGGGGATTGAATTGATGGAAAAAACTAAAGTCCCAAGCAGTTTCTCTCAAAGAACTGACACATGGACTCACCTACTCAGAATCACTCTCTCTCAGCCCCAGCACTGGGGTAGCTGCTTGAAAAGCTACCCCAGTGATGGGGTATATGGGGAGGAAATGAAGTGTCTGGCATCAAGGCAAGCGAAGACCATTGTCCCTTTGCTAAATCCTCCCCTCACAGAGCTGGCAGGATGGTGCCATATCTGAAACTCACCAACCTGGCTAACACTAACCTGCTGTGAAGATCCCCAGAGACTCCACCCCACCCAATTTACAGGCCCACCCAAGCTGCTTTTCCACGTGAATGGTTGGTCTTGACTCATGCTTCACAACTTTGTAGATCCTATCAAACAAGCAACAGATGGCCTCAGTGAGCCCCAGGCCTGGCACTAGCAGCAGCCAGCCTAGATTCACAGTTTGGCTTCACCTGGGAATCTCCAAACCCAGCACAAGCAGCAGTCATCTCAGATTGCTTTATCAGTCAGGCAGGGTGGCCCTGGGCAAAACACAGGTAGAGGCTGACCTTGGCTAGCACCACCAGGGAAACTCCAGGGCCAGTTCACCCCATGGACAGCTACAGAGCATGTTGGAGTACCACTGTCCTGCCCCTGCACAGCTGATCCTCAATGGAGGATGGAGGTTGGTGGTAAGTGGTCATAGCCTATCCTTGCAGCTGACTGGCCTGGGTAAATCCCTCCCATTGATCTGCCAACAGCAACTAAGGCTCAACTACAAGAGGAAGGTATACTCAGCCCACATGAAGGGTGCACCTCAAATACCCAGCTTGGGTGATAGGGGAGGCTGTGCCACTGGACCCTGCAGAATACCTACTACATTAGGCCATGCTACCAAGACATTAAGTCATAGCAGCTCTACCTAATACATAGAAACAAATGCAAGGTGGCTGCCAAAATGAGGAGACAAAGAAGCATAGCCCAAATGAAAGCAGATCAAAACTCAAAAAAAAAGAGCTAAACAAAATGGAGATAAGCAATCTATCAGATGCAGAGTTCAAAACACTTGTTATAAGCATGCTCAAGGAACTTAATGAGGACCTCAACAGCATAAAAAGATCCAGTCAAAAACAAAGGATATACTAATTGAAATAAAGAACAATTTACAGGGAAACAACAGTAAATTGGATGAAGCCAAGAATCAAATCAATGATATGGAGCATAAGGAAGCAAAAAACAACGAATCAGAACAAGAAGAAGAAAAAATAATCCAAAAAAATGAGGATAGTGTAAGTAGCCTCTGGGACAACTTCAAGAAGTCCAGCATTCGCATCATCAGGGTGCCAGAGGAGAAGAGAAAGAGCAAGAAATTGGAAATCTATTTAAAAAAAAATAATGAAAGAAAACTTCCCTAATTTGGTAAAGGAAATAGACATGCAAATCCAGGAAGCAGAGAGAGTCCCAAACAAGATGGATGCAAAGAGGCCCACTCCAAGACGCATCATAATTAAAATGCCAAAGGTTAAAAATAAAGAATCTTAAAAGCAGCAAGAGAAAATAAGTTAGTTACCTACAGAGGAGTTCCATAAGACTGTCAGCTGATTTCTCAAAAGACACTTTGCAGGCTAGAAGGAATTGGCAAGAAGTATTCAAAGTCATGAAAAGCAGGGACCTATAGCCAAGGTTGCTCTACCCTGCAAAGATATCATTTAGAATCAAAGGGCAGATAAAGAGCTTCCCAGACAAACAAAAAACCTAAAGGAGTTCATCATCACCAAACCATTATTATATGAAATGTTAAAAAGGACTTATTTAAGAAAAGATCAAAACTATGAACAATAAAATGGCAAAAAATACATATCTATCAACAATTGAATCTAAAAAACAAACTAAGCAAACAAAAAGAACAGAGATGGAATCATGGATACAGAGAGCATTTTGATGATTGCCAGGTGGCAGGGGAGTGTGGGGGAATGGGTGAAGATGTGACGGGATTAAGAGGCACAGTAATCCCTATTGATATATAAGAAGGTAGTTATAGACTAGGCATGGGGATGTAAAGTACAGTATAGGAAATGGAATAGCCAAAGAACTTACACGTATTACCCATACACATGAACAATGGTGAGGGGATTGCCTGAGGGAGTTCGAGGAAGGGATGTTGAGTGGAGGGGAG